ATAAAAATATATAAAGCAATGTACATTTTGATAATATTTCTACACTTCTGATAGCAAAAAAACTGTTAGAAACATTTTGTTATGTTACATAATGGGTTTCCATCTTGATTTACTGAAAGTCAGACTGTACTATCTAAATATACAAAATTGTACTGTGATATCAGTTTGATTTGGATTATAATTATTGAAATTAATTTCATAAGGAAAAACCTGAAATGTTACTGAACTTTTACAGAAGGAATTAAAACATAACATGCATGTAAATTATATGATGAGCTGATGAAGTGTTAGTTTCTTTGAAACACAATTTTTTGTGAGTTTATAATTTCAGTTAGCCATGTTATATACTTTCTTTTAGGTGTTCTTGTATTGAATAGTGAATATAATCACACATTCCTGACAGAAAAAAAGGACATAGAAGAAATAAATTTGACCTAGAATAAAACATATAACAATGCCTGTAAATGCTAAGTATCACATGTTATAACCTGTTTTTGTAGAAAATGAAGTGAAAGAAGTGATATGTTATTCATAAGTTTAAATAAGAAACTTCAACTTAGTGATACCCTGTAGTATTTTACTGTAACCCAAGAATTTATAAATGGCTGCATATGTACAGTGATTTAAAAAGTTAAATGAGTAGTGTTTAATCTCTTGAGCAAAATGAGGAGAAACATGCAATGTTACAAACCTCTCTTTTGCTGAATAATAATATAAAATGTAATAAATAGGCCTGATAATTTTAAGATTTCTGACCTTATTGGTATTCATTTATGATTCATTACTGTTTAGTGTAGCATTTTCTCAATATAAATAATGTTAAAAGTATTGCTTAGCTAAAACATAAAGACGGTTCCTTGGGCCATTTGAACAAAGTATAAGTTAATAAAAGAGATCATTAAAATAAAACACACTGTGTCTTAGTAAAAAATGATAAATCCACAGTAACTTTGAAGGTATGAAACAAATGAAAAAATATCTATATCTCATGAAAAATAAAATGTTGAGTAATGTAATCTGGATAGACTAATAATGAACAATTTATTTTAAATTGTCTTAATTTTTTTGGAGTTTTTTGTATGCTTATATTATTACTATAACATGACAAAAAAATTCAAAAATTTATAATTTGTCAAATTTTTAGGTACTTCTTTTTATAAATTGTATGCATTTTTTTTTACCATAAGTGAATTATCAGTAAATGTGTTGCTTTAGTTGAAAAGGATAACTTTATAGTTTAACAAATACTGCTTATATATATGTATATGGCAACTGAGAAGCTTGAATTTTATATTGAACTTGCATCATTGTATTTCATCTGAAAATTCAGAAAATCATTTAAGTATATTCAACTGTAGTAAAATTAATTGTTACTAAAATTAGCCTGAGATCCATCAAGTACATGATTCTGTATATTTCAATTTGAAATGGTTGTTTTGGTATAAAATCTTTTCTATAGTTAAAAAAGTAGCTTGTTTTTTTTTTTTTTTAGTTTTTCTGGAGGTATGTTAAATATGAGCTAGAATCATTTTTGCATGTAATCATCTCAGCTGATTCAGTTTTCAAAAGAAATCTTTCTACACTCAGAATAAAAACAATTTAATAACTATGAATGAAGGAGGTTAATATGATAAATTTGCTATTCTAACAGCATATAAGTTGCATCTGATTGAAACTTTAAGGATTTGTTTAAATATTGTATTTTACTTTATTTCAAAACCAACAGCTATTTGTAAATTAATATTATTAATTAAGGCATGTAGTAAACATAAAAAAACTTGAAAATATTTATGTATCACTCAAATACTATAATATATGAAGTTGAAATGGAACAATTTTTCATAACATTTAATCTTTACCAGTTTCCTAAGTTTAATTTATACTTACTATGGTCAATATTAATGCAGCTTTTTGTAAGAATGACCATGTTGATGAAGAAATTGGGTTTAATTGAGCTTAATCATGTTAGTTTGGAAGAACATTCCCAAAAATTCAAGATGTTATTCATAATCATTTCAGGGTAGATCAGGCTTTGATGGAACTAAGATATTGGTAATTTTACAACTGGTTAAAAATGCACAACTTTTACAGATGCACCGCCATGAAAGATTTCCATCTGATTATCAATACCGAATTCAAGGGCTTCTCCAAGTTCTCATGCCTAATATACTTCAGAAATTCAAAGATCTTCCTGATGAAACAAGGCATGTCAATCAAAGCTTGGCCCAATTCCTTAAGGTACAGTATTATATCATTAAAAATCTGAAACTTATGCATGTACATTTGTATCTCATACAGAGTGATAATATTTAAAGTATAAATTTAGACTTATTAGCTCTAATGCATCAGAGAATAAGCTTGTATTAAGAATATCTCAGAATAAGTGTATTGTTACAATTGTTTAGTTTGGTCAATCATAAATTGTGTTATGTCATCACACCAGCCTTTTATAGTTTAAACTCTATTGCTATTTGGGAAGCTTTAGTGGGATTTGAGAAGGTTTTTGCATGAAATTATGAGTACAGTAACTAGATATCTTAATACTACAGTTCTAGAAATTACTATATACACATGCAGAAATTTTTAATTTGTTTTGTGGATTCAAGTGATTATACATTTTTTTAAATTCTTATATTCATTCTTTAAAATACTGAGTTATTTCTGGTCTAGGGTTCTTTATTTGTTTAGTTTAAAGTTTATAAAACATAAGATTAGTTGAAAAAATTATATATATATTTTAGACATAAATATCATATATAATTTAATACTTTGAGGCTTAGATGATTATGTACAAAATTAGTTTTACATAAACATTAAGATATCACTTATGTAAGGTATATTTTAGGGTAAGTACAGTTTCCTGTTTAATGTTTTGTTACTAAGATGGTATGTTATGGTACTGTTAATAAAACGTTTTTAATATATATATATATATATATAAGTTCCTATACTCATTAACTGTTGTTTCTTGTAAATAACTTATACTTAACTTTTAATGTGTTATATTTTCATTTGTTTGTAGAAATGTTTAAATTTCATGGACAGAGGGTTTGTTTTCAAGCTGATCAATTTCTACTTGGACAAGTTCAATCCAGGCGATGCAAGGGTAACTATTATTTAAATATAATTTGATCATTTTATATAATTCCAAAGTATTAAACTTTATTTAAAATGCAATTGATACTTTCCTCTTTTTTTTTTAGATTTTTTCAGTATTTTAAATGGCAGCTAAACAAATGTACCCTTATATGGGCATAAATATTTGTAGGATTATTTCTTGAAGTATGTTCAAGAAGTGGCAATAAAATGGAACTTTTGTTGAAAAGAGTATTGGTGTTATATGAGCTATTTTTGTATTCATAAATATTGTGTTGAAATCTTTCATGTCATGTGGACACTTAGAGGCCACTTTGCATAGTTGTGCTCACTGATTGAGTATTTGTATGATATACAGCTATTAGGTAGTAAATGATAGTGATTTGTTGTAAGCAGATTTAAAGTGCATAACTTTGTGTCTTTTTTTTGTTTTTAGCTATTATTTTTGTGCATATTAGGTTATAACTTTTAATATTTATATTGAATATGAATTGTTGAAGTTTGATTTCAGAATATTGTTTAATGTGTAGTTAATGTTTAACTCTTTCCATATGGGTCTGGTCGATGTGACTGACTTAATAATCACAAAGTAATCATCAGAATTTTCATGCTATAACTTTCAAGATGATTTGTGCATCTTCATAAAATATGTCATACTTTCAGTATGCATTATAAATCTTTAATACACAAAAAATTTCTGTTGGTCATAAATAATATAGTATAAAACATTAGAGAGAATTATTGGCAATTTGTGAAAAAGAGGATGTAACAGGGGAGTGTGGCAAGTAGGTCTGATTTTGTAGTTGATGACGCCATAAACAAATATAGATTGAAGGCTATAAAAATTACACTGCTTTAGTAACATCTATATTATAATGAGAGATTTATGCTAAATTCTGTACATCAGAGAGGGGTGGTAAATAAATTAGACAAGAAGGAACAAATGTCACAATTCTCCTACTAGGGTAGATTATGGATTTTTTTTAAATATTTCCTTATAAAATTAAGAATGTAAAACTTATATTAAAATTTGGCTTAATTGACTATTTTTAATGTCAATTTATTTGTGTACATTGGTAATGAAGTAGTTTCATGAAATTTTGAATGTAACTGTAAGTGGATGTGACATGTGAAAGGGTTAACATTGTATATCAGTGTCTGTTTTTCATGTACTTTTGTATCACACATATCACATTCTTTATCCTAATAGTTAATTACATTTCAAACCTTTAATATTTGATTGATACTGAAGGGTGCTGAAAGATGCAGCTAAAAGATAGTTTACAAGATGAAAAATAAATAATGGCATTTTCTCATGAATGATTTTTTTGCCATAATTACTTACTCACATTATAAGTGAAGAGAATATTTATTGTTTTTGTTTTCTCTAGATCCTAAAAAAAGTGCATATAAGAAGTTTTTCCAGAAATATAAGAAAGACTATCTGCCATTTCTTTGTCATTTATTCTATAATTTCTTTATTTTTTCTCATGAAAGATGGTCAAGTCTTCTTCTTAATATATCACAAGTGGGTTTTAAAGTGCTTAGCTTCCGTGGCAAATTCTTCTTTGATCTAATAAACCCAAAGCCAGACTGTTTGAAGTGTTTTTGCTAAAGGAATGAAAGAGATATGCAAAAGAACCCTAATGTGCATTTATGTAAATTATCATTGGTATTTGAAAATTATTCATTATAAATATATTAAACTGGTAGATTATATACTAAAGTCATATTTTAATAACTTGTATAATCTAAGTTGAGCATAACACCTAGATTTTTAAGAAAATAGTGTTTGTTCAAAAAAAAAAATATCCAAATTGGTAAAATCATTGAGTCATTACTTTAATGTTATAAATCATCTCACATTATCTAGTTTGTGACATAAAAGAAATTATATAATTCAGAGGTTGAATATGTTATAATAAAATAATTCTCTAGACTTATCATATTGTTACAGTCCAACCCTCACCTTGTAAGGTCATGCTCTATCTGACAACCATGCATCTTGATAATATTCCTGCAACATAGTTTTCCATTGCAAAAGCTGTCATGCCTAAAGTTTACCACTCCTCCCTTCATGTTTTCCACAATCCATCTCATGTCCAAGGACAACTGTTTTTCAGCCATCATTTCAACAGACCAATCACACAGAAATCCAGAGGCACTGCATCTGGCAACTTAACATATATATCTTTGATATAAAATAGAATGAATAAGACCTGTTTCATTCACCAGCTTCTTGAGGTATGCAATCACTGAATGATATGTATGATTGGAAGCCTCATATTGGTGAACCTGTTCCCCATTGGTCTTATTTCCAGATATAGGTCCTTCTTAATTATGATGCATACTGTTGCCATGGGCATGTGAACTATTTTTGCAGTGGACTGTTGTGTTTTTTGGGATCTCAACTGTTAAGAGGCAGTGCACTTTGCTTACCATAGCTAGGGTATAACTTGTTGAAAGTCTATTGCTGTATGGTCCTGCACCCCTAGTTGATAAATATTTCTCTGTTTCCCAATTCTATCTTGCAAATTCTAAGTCCTTGATCTGGACACATCTTTATTATCTTAGTGTATAAATATTTTGTGTTGGAGAGAGCTTTTACATAACCTTTCTTAAAGAAATCAGTCTTCGGTGGCATCATACTACTTACAAATTCCAAACAATGTCAAAATGTAGTTCTTATACATTACATTCCACCATGACTTTATGTTGGTTATGATTTTCACTTGACTTGCTGATTTATATATTCAAAATTGTTATAATATAACGTATTCAATCTCTGTGTATTGTATTTCATCAATTCCTCAATTAAAATTTATTAGAGCTATGTTTATTGACACATGGTTTACATATTTTTTTGTCTTTTATTGATATGGAGATGAAGCAGGCCATTAATTTTACTTTACATACTTGTATTTGATTAAACGTACGATAGAATAGTTGGATGGTAAAATAATTTTTTTCTTTCTGAATATGTTCTCCTGAGTTACTTAATTGCATAACTTGTAAACTAGAAAAGGGAAATAACCAAAATAGTTTTCTCATTTGCTATTTATATTTTGGAAATATTTTTACACTTCATAACCATCTGACTTTGGATAACATGAGATGATGATATTATTGTTTCTTTAATGATAAGATAATAATTAGAATGAAAATTATTTTTAAGCATGGGCAAAAGACTTTGATTTAAAATATATATAAGTAATATATATTTGACAATGTTCTTATTATTAATAACAGAGTCTGCAAGAGCTGAAGTTTGAATTTTTGGATATCATATGCTCCCATGAGCATTTTGTGGCTCTGAACTTGCCTGTCATGAGAGGTAGTTTCACTAGAGGACATACCAAAAACATCAAAGGTGAGGTTCACAATTGCTGGATGAAGATCTTTATATTTTTAATATAACTGATGCTAGAAACCATTGGTACTAGGTGAAACTACATAATTACAGAATTGAGGGAAGAAACAAAGACAATAGTACATTATATGTTTTGTGAAACATACAATTGTCTTTGTTTTTTTCATCAACCTTGTATTTATATTTTTATATGAGCTTAGTGTCGTTTGAGAGTTTAAGATTTAAATAGGAGGATGATGTTATTAAGCAAACAAAAAACATTTGTATTAAATCATGTGAAGTATATCTACTACTAATTTCATCTGATGTTTAGAAATATTTTATCAGTGTTTATGAAATAAACAAGAACATTAGACAATTTCTTTCACCTATGAACTCCTAGCAAAACAAAAACATAATATTGATGAAAGATATCTCACTATATGAAAGCCATATTTCTTAAATAATCTCCATTTTGTCTATACTTGTGATACTTTACATATTCTTATTTTAGCTGTCAGACTACCCATTCATCTGCTGTTCAATCATATGTCACACTAACTAGCCATACTTGAGTTCAAACAATTCAGCTAATTACTTGCTTAATTACACTTTTTTTTTCTGAAGAATTTTAACTTCAACTTGTATATTTGGGCTTAATTCTTTTTTAGTTTGTATTGGATATATGAAATCCTATTGATGTTTTTTTTTAATGTGTCATGAGACATGCTTTGGCATTCTACGAACTTGTATTTCTGTTATACGTAATTTTGTTTAATGCAAACTGGAGTTTATTAGTAGACATTTATTTCCATTAATAGTGTGTATCTTTATTAGCTCAATATTTCCATATTACAGTTTTGTCAGGACCTATTGATAGCCTATAAGTTTGTTAATCCAGTTTAAATTAGATTAATACATACAATTTGAACATAAATTTTGAGCTGTAGTCATTTTTCTGGTTTGAGTATAATTCTTTAGGCCTTACACTCCACTCTTGCCTTAAATTAGTTAGGACAATTTTGTTACCTAAATAGTGTTTACCCATGCCTCCAGAAATAGGTATGGAACTCAAAAATTTCATTTTTATTTCTGCCTTCTTTTATTAGGGACATTTCTTTATTAGTCTCAGTAGAGTAGGGCAAGTGGTTCCTTCCTAGGAACAAGTCCTGAAGTCACATTATTATCTGTAATCCTTTTGATCCTGTGGTTTTTATATTGCATTCTCTAACATATATTGTTTCCTTTGTCTTAAAATCTTCAGTTATTTTGGAATGGCAAACCATTTTTGAGCACACTAATTTTCTCTGTAGTTAAACTAAGCCTATAGAGCTTCAGATGTAATTGGAACTTTTGGTGTATGATACTGTGAAATGGGCAAGACATTAATATTTGGTTTCTATTCCCTTTCCTTTACTCAAACTTGAAACTGAAAACTTGTGTTATATATATATGTTTACCCTCATTGGGTGTCTGATCTTATCCTGGCTCTATTTACTATCCACCCTCATAAAACCAGACCATTTCAGTGCCCAGTTGGTCTCTTTGTATCCAGTGAGGGGGAGATTTTATGCTTCACTTTTATGTTTCCATACCCTTTAGGCCTGCTTTTTGCTCCTTGTGTTTCTCTTCTTGTATATATAGTTTTTTTAAGTTTATATGGATCCTCATTTTGTATATACAGCTCTTTTTTCTTTTAATTCTGGAAGTAATCCTAGTGTTATGCATATTCTTAATAACAAATCTTCACTGAAATAACATTCTTCCTCTTTCCAAGTTGTTTCTTTTGAATCTACACACTAGCTTGAAAGCTTGCTCTGGCTGTCATTACTGGCTGATTTCTCGTACCTAAGAGGACTTTGGATTTCTTCCTAAAAAAGGAGCTCACATGGTTATTACACTCTGGTGGGTGTAATCCAACTTAAGTCATATTATAATAGATAAGAGTAGGCCAGATGGCTGCTCTGTTTTATTGACATTGTTTGGGCTGAAATCTAGTGTATCCATGTTGCTGGTTTTAGCTTAATGGGCCCACTAATGGCTCATTGGTAAAGCTTGAGGGCTTAAACTAATGAGATTTTGAGTTCAATCTTTGCTTCATGCTTAATAATAAACTTTAAGGTAAAAGGTATTATGAAATTTTTTTGTTAAAGTTCTGTTCTTCTTCTTTATTTTGAACTTTTGCTCTTTTTGATTCATTTTACGATAATGGTATGTTAGTTCTAAGCATACAAAGTGAAATCATGTTAAGAAACAAACTTACAATTGGAAAAGTAAGATGTACTTGGAAAAACTGTTTGTGTATCTAACTTTCTGTTCTATAAATTGCCATTTTTTAATTTTTGTTTGTTTGTTGTACTGAACCTATCACAAACCCTGAGTACTGTGATTGGGATTCGTTAGGAGATATTATAAATGTATTTGGCTGACGGAGATGTGTTCTGTGCAATATGAATGAGTGATGCCAGTTAATTTTGACACAAAATATACAGGAAGTGGAGGATGATGGCATGGGATTATTAAAGTGGATGCAGATTTTTCAATCTGATCATGATTTATTTGTATAGTCTAACTATTGCAAACATGCCTAAAGAATTTTCATATCCTCCCTCATTTTTATTTTTAATGTAGAAAGCTTTATGTTACATTATGATAAATCAAAACAAAATATTGTATAAACAATATGGAACAATACATATGCATTGTAAACATGAACATTATCCATTTATATAAGTATCAAGAAGTAGGAAATAAATATATTATGCTTAAAATTTTGTGAACAAATTTTAGATATTAAGTTTTTCTTATTTTAACAAGAAACTTGGTACTATTTTCATGCATGTATTAACATCATCAACACACATGAATACATAAGCTCATACAAAAGGTAGAAGATTTAAAAGTTAGTAGTTACAATAGACTTTACTGTGGAGGATGGGTGTTAGACAACTCCATAGGGATTTTATTTGAGTATACTTTTTCTTGATACCAATATTATTTTATTAATTTGAGCTTTTATTACCATAATGGGAGCTGGAACACCAACTTCATGAGGTAAGATTTTCTTACTCACTACCTCCAATGATAGGACTTTTTTTTTTCTTTATTTATTTTTATCTTTCTTTTCTTTTGAGAGTAGTCATCTTCCTATTATTTTCTGCAGGCAGGAAAGGTGATATAGATGTCGGATGTTGTGGGCTTGAACATTCAAATCTGATGTCTTTATCTTTTCTATTTCTTTCTTATTTTTCTTCACATGTGAGGTTTTTGAAACAGAGGTTAAGACTGATAGATGGTGTATCTCTTCTATTATTTGGGTCATACTTCTACATTCACCTCCAAAAACCAGGAAACTTCTTACCCCCCCATTATTGTCTGTGCAGTGGCGACTTTGTTTTGTTCTGCAGCATTTTTATTTAAGGCTTGTTTTATATTATAAACAATATATATGTATATAAAGCATAAGACATTCTCTGGGTGAAAACTAATTTATACTGAATGCTTTTATTGCTTTGGTACTGTCATGTAAATGAGTGATATCATTCGAAGCTTAAGTTCGTGTAAAAACACAATAATGAAAAGTACACTTATAGGACTTGCATGTTCAATTTTGTAAAACCTCTATGACAACATTAAATTTTCTTGTGCTTCAGTTAAAAAAGTACCATATTTTATCATTTTCTATTGGGAAAGAAAACAGGAACAAGTTACTTAAAAACATCTAAATTTTGGTAATTTTACATATTTTTCATTGTAAGTATCTGTTATAAGGTAGGAATATATAACCTTTAATAAAACATAAAAAGAAAGAAATACAATTGTGTTGTGTAGTACAGTCACCTATTTATTTTTGAATACATGTTGGCTGGTTCTGGCATTAAAGGAGTAATAATATGAATGATTGTGTTTTGTGCTTAATTGCTCCTTTTTGATACTCTAATTCTATTAGTGATGATGTTTTCACATCATTGGAAGCAATAAACTTTCAGTAATATTTTGTTCTTTACATAAGATTTGGTATTCATTTTTGTTATTTATCTAGGTTCACCATAGAAATGGATGATAAAGCAGATTATATAATGGGGTTTCAAAGTCATCTATTTATTTATTTTTTTGCAGAGTATATGATTATATTTAATGTTTTTATATACTCAGGGTGACTATTTCTTAAATATATCCTTTTATTTTTTTGCTTTTACAAATGTGAAGATGTATATACACAAAAACCTTAATTGTTTTGTTTGTTTTTTTCATTTTATACCTGTTTGTATTCTGCCTTTTACTTTTCTGTTTTAAACATATTTACATCTATGGACCAGAAATGGCATAGTGATTATCAAAATGATGGGAGGTCTACCAGAAAATGTATTACAAAGAAAAATCTGAATTCTCTGACCTCCACTGAGTTCAAAGAAGAGAGAGAGATTTGACACAAGTTCAAACACCGTGAAACAACCTTTGTTTAATCAAAGTTAAAACAAAGGTATCTTTTGGGTACTTTTACTGGAGAACTTTCAGACAAAAAGTGTGTTTAATTTGCAATAATCTTTACCTAAATCATCATCACTATGTTCCAGACTGAGAAAACATGGCATTGTATACATAAAACATCAATGACATTCTTTTTAAGATGCAAGTGCTACACACTTGGCTGGTAGTCACTCTCACTGCAATAAAAAAAGGTTGTGTGTTTGAGGCATCAACTGACTAGAGGAATGATCACAGTCTATTTTGATATAGTGTCCTCTACTTTACAGGAATCTTTCTTACAAGAAAGTACATGTGATACTATAGTTGAATGACCCATTTTAGTAGGTAACTTGTGGGAGAAATATTTAGTGATTCCATTGACTGGCATTTTATATTAGTATATGTAGAGAAAGTTTGAAAATTTTTACATTAAATAAGGGGATAAGAAACAGTTTGACTGCTTGGGACATATACATTGATTAATATGAACTATATAGATGGTGTTTATTTTTTGCCTGATATGAGTAACTACATAATCTTTTTTTTTTTTTTCAAAAAGCTCATAAAAGTAGCTCATTGTTTTTTGCTGTTAAACAAAAAGCTACACAATAGTTTATCTGTGTTCTGCCCCCCTGTGGGGTATTGAAACCCAATTTTTAGCACTATAAACTCCCAGGCTTACTGGTGAGCCACTGGAGGATGGGAGGGAGGGCTAAAAGTAGCTCAAAGTAACAAGGTATCTTTTATAAATTCCTTTGCATTATGGCATTTATTCAATATTTTAGAAATGTTTCATGTGTTTTATCCAGTTTCACAGAGGTCAAAATTATATTGTTTTTAATTCCAAAATTTTTACATTTTGCATCTAAATGAAACTTTTAGCTAAGATTATGGCTTTTGACTGTCTTGTACTGTATTTTATTAATCCATTTGCCTCCCAGGGGCACAGCAGCATGACTGCAGACTTACAATGCTAGAAACCAGGTTTTGATACTTGTGGTGGGCATAGCACAGATAGCCTGTTGTGTAGCTTTGTGCTTAACAAGAAACAAACAAATTAACCCATTCGCAATGAGCTTGTTGCGAGTGCAAAATGATGTTCACATTGAATTTAATAATACTTTTCTTTAACTAACAATTGTGAAATTTCATTTGCATAATCACTAAAATCTCCTAAATAAATGTTAAACGTTTTTTTTTTTCAGTAAAGCTTTATATTTTATCTGTTATTTTCTCTGCCCTAACTCTATATCCATTTGGTAAATTTGATCAACCTCATAATCACCATAAACAAATTTGAAATAAATCTAAATACCCTTTTTGTTTTTCTAGAATGACTGCAGATTGTAACATGAATCTACAATTCTTTATTCTAAATAGCTTAAAGATCATAACAGTATACATCTACTTGTACTTAATTTTATTGTTTTATTATTCTTTGAAACGTGTATAAGTAATAATCCCACCACACAAGTTGTAAATTACTTGGTGAACATGCAGTTCACGTTACTGTATCGAATTACATAATGCACAAGCTGCTTGCAAGCATACCTCTTGAAGAATTTTTATTATTATTATATTTTTTCATTATCATACCTAATCTAATTGAATAAACTCAAATTTTTACATATTAGTTGAAAAACACATGAAAAACAAAAATATAATACCTGGGTCTTTTTGTTTTTTGCTGTCGACTGTCGATGAAATTCAAGCCTACTTTCTTATACTAATGGTACTACTACACTAAATAATTTTTATTTAATTAAATAATGCACCTAAGAACACAGAATAATAATATGCATAAAGCAAACAATGTCCTATACATATCATAATTTTTCTAGTTTTCTAACTGTGCAATAAGAGCCAGAATAGACAATTCTCTGTACAGAAAATAATGTAACATAATATGTCATTTGATAGATTAATACTTTGGCTTTCTGTTGGTTATAAATAATATAATATAATAATATCAGTATGGCCCGGCATGGCCAGGTGGTTAGGGCGCTCGACTCGCAATCTGAGGGTCGCAGGTTCGATTCCCCGTCACAC